GTGTCCATAGTAGCATGCACAGATGGAGGAGTAAATTGAGACCCAGGAAATGGAAAATACCAACAAAATAGAACGAACCACAGAAACGAAAGGAGTGAAGGTTGAGAGAAGCTGCTCTTTATCCAATTAAAATGAAGATGAACTTTGTAGCCAAATTTAATTGAACATTCCCCTCCACTGTTCAGATAATGGATTTGTACTTGGGACTGTTAAATTTGGCAGAGAAATAGGCTCCGCTGAAATGAGCAAAGCCAGTTGCAAATAGGACAGGTTAACTCAAGTGTTTCTAGTGTAGAAGCAAAAGTGCCAAAAAAGTGTAATGGATTTGGATCTACCTTCATGTTCCGTATCATAGAATCCTGCGTGGCATCTGACCTGCTGGCACCTTTGACTTCTCTGAAACCCTTTCTGTATCATTCTCTTGAGCTTGAGTTTTTTCCCTAAATGTTTTGGGTAAAAAACATCAGCATATATTGTTTTGCTTATGGACACTCGTTTTGCTTGTGGACACTCGTTTTACTGACTAAATGGAATAAAAGGGAAATAGTTTTATCAGTTTCTACAAGTCCTTCCACAGAGCTCTGAGGGTTTTAACTATTGCGCATCAATTCTTACTAGAAACCTGGTCAGGAAGTCATGGAGTGACATTTCTTTTTCTCTAGGGACAGTCTGAGGTAGGCATCACAGGGGCACAGTCTTCCCCCAGAAGTTCAGTGATTTAAACATGTAGTCAAAACGACCAGAGTTATGTGTGTCTTCAAGACTGTGCACATCTCTGCACCCCTGACTGCCCCCTCCCCCTCGTGGGGGAGTCGTTTGAGGTGAAAGGTCAATATTCAGAACCATGTGTCCTCAGGCTTATTGGACATGTCTCCAAAGTCGAGTTAAAGCTGGCACTTTTTTATAGGAAGAAAGAAATATGACACACATGAAAATATTTTGAGCTCCAGCTTTCTTTGGTTCAGACTGAAGCAGGGTGTCGGCTGCTGGGAGCTAATAGTTCTGGATAAAATGTTTAAGTGGCATTTTACAGCCCTCTCCCCTGGGGACACCATCACCATGGGACAGGGCAGCAGATCCCTCAGCATCCTGCCCTAATCCAGTGAAGAAGAAAGATCCTAACTGTAGTGGTTTGGTTCTAAAATTCTGTTCTAAAATTCTAACTACTCAGACCAGAAGTGTATAAATTTTCACTGCTGATGGCATTCAAAGCCTTCAGTTGGTTATGCATAAACATATTCTCTTAATCAAAAGCACTTGTAGTCTCAAGACTTGTGAAGTCTAATGGTTGGTTGTTTTGTTGATGTTATTGTTGTTTTAACTTGGTTGTTTTTACAGCCACACTACCATTAAATTAAAAGTTTTCCTCTAAATTGCCTATTATGAATAATGTTAAGCTTTTTGTTTTTTAGGAGACAAGGGCAATTACTCTTTATAATTTTTCCCCCTGTTTTCTATAATACAACTTTCTGGTTACACATGGAAGCTTCCAGGAAAGTGAATGTAAGGCCTACATAATGTTAGGGGAAGCTTTACTGCTTGGTATGTTGTTCGGTTGAGTCTTTGAACCCAAGTTCTCTGGTTTTCTCAAGTGAAACCTCCACAGGACTCTCCCTAGACCTCCAGCTGCCTGTGACCCATCCTGCATGGCCATCTTTCCTCTTAAAGGTACAGAGACACCTAATAGGAAAAGGTTATGAAGCGAACTGTAGCTGGTTCACACTGAAATTGTCTGGGGATTGAGGTGGAAGTTGATGGTTTCCTCCTGCCCTTCTTTTTTAGAATTTATGTTAAGAGAAGAGTGAGGGAAATCAGAACCCCCGCAAGGTAGCAAACAAGAAGGACAAGCAGGGACTTTGTTCTTTTCCTATGGAAATACTGAAATACCTACAGAATTCTTCAGGACAGGAGAAAATCCCCTTTAGAGGGCTGGAACAGCATTGCTCTTTGATTCAGGGGGAGAAAACAAAATACAGACTAGTGAGAAGTGCCATCTGGCTTCTCACACAGCAGGCAGAAATTTGCCACCCAAATCCTATCCGTAAATGGGATGAAGCAGAGAGTGGATCCCTTGTGCAGCTCCCCTGGGGGAAAAAGAATGAAATGCTGGATATGTGCTCTTTAAATAGGCTTTTGAGAATGGCTTATACCTCTTTAAAAATGAGACAATGATTTTTTTAAATAAAATAGCAAGAGTGATTTGTCTTGACTGTTTTAGTTAATATTTGTTGGATTTATTATGGCAAATTCAAGTGTCAGCATGTTTAAACAGTGTAGCATGATGAACCTCGTGACCATCTTGAACAGCGATCCACTCGTGGCCAGTTTGTGGCACACTCCCTGAACTGTCCCCCAGGATTCATTCATGCAAATACAATTGCTCCTGGGTATCCCAAGGGAATTGGCTCTAGGACTTCCCACAGAGGCTCAGGTTCATGAAATGATGTAGTATTTGCAAAGAACCTTACACGCCGCCTCCCATATACTTTAAATCATCTCTAGATGACTTGCAATACCTAATGTGATGTGAGTACTATGTAAATAGTTATTCTACTATGCTGTTTAGGGAATAACAAGAAGAAAGCAGTCAGTATTTATTCAGTGCAAATGCAACTTTTTTCCCCCTAATATTTTCAGTGTGCATTTGTTTGAATTCCTGGATGTGGGACTCATGCTACTGAGGGCTGAAAGTACTAGAAACCATATCATTTCATCTCTAAACATTTCAGTATGTGTCTCTGATAAGATAAAGTTTTTTTTAATGAAACTGAAATACCATTACCACATCTACAAAGTTAATAATAATCCCCTAACGTCATCAAATATCCATTAGGTGTTCAAATTGCCAATTGTTTCATGAATGTCATGCTTTCTTTTAATAGAGTTTTAATCAGTTTCCAGAGAAGATCCACATATTGCAGTAGCATTTTTTAAAAATGTCAGGAAGGGAGGGCTGGGTGTGTGCGGCTCAGCGGTAGAGCTTGCCTGGTACTGAGTTTGCAAAGCCCTCGGTGCAATCTCCAGCACAGGGGTAGGGTGGGGATGAGGGGGAATCAACAGGGTCTCTTTTTCTTCCCCCTTCTCCTTTGTAACCGATTTACGGAAGAAACGTCTTTCTTTTTTTATCACAGTTTCATTCAGTTTGGATTTTGCTGATTGCCATCCTGGGGCACTGTATAACATTTTCCTCTAAGCCCTGTATTCCCTGAAGATTGAAAATTAGATCTAAGAGCTTGGTCAGATTCAGGTTCCCTCCTTCTTCCCTCTCTCCCTTCCTCACTTCCTTCTTTCCTTTCTTTGGTTTTCTTTTTATTTTCGCTACTGTGATAGTCTCTCCTCCAGTTCTATCCTAAGCCTCCTGATGCTGATTATAACTGTATTGATACAAAGGTAATCTTGTTGATTTTAAAATGTGAATTGGGTTCTCTGTGGCCATACCTGTCTTTCCAAGTTCATGGGGACATAGTCACATGTTGAACAAACCCTGACAATAAGTTTCAACTGTGTATCAGGGGTGTGGGGGAGGGCGAAAAATGACAACACCATGGAAATTCTGACCAGAGTAAGTGCAGAGAGCCATGGGACAACTAACAGGTGACTCCACCTCAGAAGTGACATTTGCACTAAGTCTTCAAAGAATATGATTAAGACAAGATATTTATACAAAAGGAATTAAGGAAAACTTGGTATATTGTTCGGTTGAGTCTTTGAACCCAAGTTCTCTGTAAATGGATCTGACTATTGTATGTGACCACAACTTATCCTCTCAGCTTTGCCTACTAGATAAAGTGACTTGCAAAATGTATGTATGTGAAAATGTTTAAGCTTAAAACGCCATGTTTATCAGCTTTCTACCCTGTTCATAGCAGAAAAAAAATAATAATAACTTTTAGACATGGGAAGCTTCAGGATGTGGGTGGACATGGTCACCAGCAGATTTGGCGAGGGCCTTCTTCCTCACAGATGGGTCTGCTTGCTGCATCCTGGCATGGTAGAAGACGAGCAAACTCCCAGGGCACTAATTCCATCCATGATGGTTCTGCCCTCAGAGTCTTGTCACCACCCAAAGGCCTTGTCTCTTAATAGCATCATCTGAGGGACTAAGTTTCAACATGAATTTGGGGAGGACACATGCAGATCATAACATAATATATTAGTATTAAATATAGTCAGTATTTTATCCAATAGATCCAAAACTTATTCCACCTAACTAAAATCCTGTACCCTTTGACTAGGATCTCCCCTTCCCCCTTCCCTAACCTGTCCCCAGCAGCCCCTGCCAATCAGCAGTCTACCCTGCTTCTTTGAACTTGACCCTTAGATTCCACATAAAAACAAATTTGTACAACATTTATCTTTCGGTGTTAGGCTGTTGTCACTTAGCACTTCAAATTCATCCACATTGTTGCACATAACAGAATTCCCTTCTTTTTAAAGGCTGAGTAGTGCTCCATTGTGTGTGAATACCATATTTCCTTCTCCATTCATCCATTGATAGACACATAGGTTGATTCCTGATCCTGGCCATTGTAAATAATGCCTTAGTGAACATGGGCATGCAGAGGCTCTTCAACATACTGGTTTCATTTACTTTAGATACATACTCAGAAGTAGAATTAGTGAATCATATGGTTGTTCTACTTTTAACTTCCAGCAATATACAGGGATTCCTATTTCTGTTTTGCTTTGTCATAGAAGTCATCTAACAGGTATGAGGTAATATCTCATGGTAGTTTTAACTTGCATTCCCCTGAGCCTCAGATTCTTCATGTTTTGCTCAAAGAGGTATGGATTAAGATGGACACCAAGAATCCAGACAGAAGTGATCAGAGTTTACATGCTAAGATTAGTTAAGGGAGATGTTCTCATTTAAATATTGGTACTTGCTCATTCTGTAAAGGGAAAAATGTTAAGAAAATTGTATAATAATAATGTTTCTTTTATAATGCTTAAAATTCTATAATAATAATTATTGTAAACATATATTCTTTTCTTTGTAGGAAAAGCCATTGACAAAATCTCTACAGCGTGGAGAAGACCCCCAGTTTGACCAAGTAGGTGATATGTTTTTATTCTGTCAAAATGGTCGGAAGGCAAAGGCTAAATGCTCACTATTTTATTAAGGAATTTCCTCAAAGAGGACACAAGTGCTTTGTTTTAAGAACTTTGTCCTGCAGTGTGTGCACTTGGGTTTATACATATTCAGTAGATATCTCTTAATTTGAATTGGAAAGAACTGGAAAGTGTAGAAGTAATGCAAATAGGCCCTCAATTAATGGTTTCCTAACCCTTTGTGTACCAGAATTAAAGAAACTGAGAAGATAGCTTCAAGGAAATTCCATTTAAAAACTTGAGATTCTTCCAGATGAATGATACCATGTGATGAGCAGATCTTTGCACTAGAGCTTATTCATAATTTCAATCAATATTAAGTTTAATTCATCCTGTGAGAGAGAAATCTCCTCAACAATAATTATAAAAGTAGTGGACTTCTGTTCTAATAGAGAAAACAATACCTAAATGAAATAATTTAAGACAGAATAAATGCAAAGAGACTCCTTTGATTATAGGTCAAGACTAGTAGAAGGACACTCAACTCTCAGCGGTGTAAAATAAACATAAGAAGTTAAGCTCTGAGAGATCCTGGTTCTGTAAGTTGAGGGAAGCTATAGGTTCACTTGAAATTAATAGATGTCAGGACATCAGAGGAAGCTGGAGAGGTGTTTGTGCTGTTTGCTAAACTTCTGCAGAATAACAGAGAGGACAGCATGTCTTCTTCAAAAACCTCAGTTGGTTCCATTGTCAGAGATATTGGATGCACTGTGGCCTCATCTACCACGGTGGGTTTTTTTTTTTTTTTTTTTAATTGACTAATGAAAATCACACAGAAAATACTCTTTCCATAGGGCTTTGAAACTGCCTTCACTGTGAAATCCAGAGGCAGTATCTCTGGCTATGCAAGTTCAGATTCATGTAATCCCAAAACATCACACTGTAGATACAAAATCCTTAATTTTGTTTGTTATGAGCGATTCATGAGGGAGAGCTCACACACTCATGCTCGGCGCCAGGCTCCCAGGCTGTGTGGCTCTGAACTTGAGTGGTTGCTCGCAGAGCAGGCTGTTTTCCAGAACAGTCTAGGCCTCATCTCTTGGTGTCAGGGTGCTGTCTTCCTTAATCATGTTGTCAGTTATTGTTGTCACCTGGTGGGTACTGGGATAGTCAGAGACCCTTGGCGAATATGTACGTGATGTTTAGTGTCACCGTTTTGGAAGTGGGGCAGATTGTGACTCTGTTCTCAAGGGAAGTGGTTCTTCTAAATTTTAACATTGCACTTAATAGTTATACCAAATAATTTTTAATTCAGCTTTCTATTTCTCTATTTTAACACTGTGGAAAGAGCTTAAATCCCACCTTTGATACTTAATTAACTAGATTTCTCTTCACCTTGCTGCTCCAAGTGTTGTCCATATATACCTGCATTGTCAAGCTCACCTGGGTGTTGTTATAAATGCAGTTTCTTGGCTTTACCAGAGAACTGTCAAATCTGCAGCTTACAGGTTCCCCAGGTGGCCCATGTGTACCGTAAAGCTGGAGAAGTCCTGTTCTGTAACAGAGTCCTATGTATTAAAGGCACTTTATGTGTGAACCAATTATGAGATGGTCATTGAGAACTTTCCCTAAGTCACAGAGTATCACCCTCTGATCTTTAAATCACGGTTCACATATGAAGCATAAGAGAATACACTACAAAGTCTAACTCGTTTTAAAGAGCTAGCAAGACTCCCAGGCCACAGAGAAACTTGGCTGACGTTGATCCACCTGTGGATTCAGTGAAGAAAAAGTCAGCAAAGTAACTTTTGAAAGACCTGCTACAGTTTGTGTTTGTGCCCAGACTCAGGTGTTGCTAATGTGATAATTCTAAGAGGAGGAGCCTTTTTAGAGGTGATTAGGCCATAAGGGCTGCTTCCTGGTGACAGGGTGTAGGTGCCTTTATAAAAGAGTTTGACCAAGGGAGCTCACCCCCTTTTAGCCTTCTCCCCATCATTCGAGGTGCCATCTTGGAAGCAGAGACCCGATGATGAACCTGCTCTACTGTTGCCTTGACTGTGGGCTTCCTAGCCTCCAGAACTGTGAGAAAGAAATCTCTGTTCTTTATAAATTATCCAGCCCTGGGTATTTTGTTACAGCAGTACAAATGAATTAAGACAAAGCCATTTCAAGCAACAGATTATTATAAGACTCACAGTTCCACTGGCAAGGCTGTGGATGTATCAAGTCTCTTAGTTTTCTGGTTTAAACATTTACATAATTTCCCTTGCTTTGATTCCAAGCAGTAGGATTTTAATCTGGGTTCTCAAAGAGCTCTATGTATAGGAAGAGAGCATGCTGGAGAAGCTTGGGTTGCATAGATCCCATTGACTATAGTTTGAATTAGTAATAAATGGTAACATTCAGTACTTAGCAGAGGATAAGCACTATGCGAAGTACTTGCCTTAAACAGGGTACAACTGTACCCTGTTGAGAGAATATGCGTATCGTATCCTCCATTTAAATGTCCCTGTGGAATATTAGGGTGTAGAGGGCTGGGCTTTTAGCCTTTCATGGCCTCATCCTGCGGGTTCACCCCTCCATTTAACCAATCTGTGCTTCACTTTATTCTTACTCCCAATAGAAGCCAAGAAGAAAAGCCCCCACTCATCTGACTTCTGTCAATCCTTCCAATAACTCCAATGAAGAGAGAGTTTATAAAGTATAACAATCTATACACTGTTACATTCAGTGGTGATGGCTCTCAGGAAGGTTGCTCCATAGTATGTGACTAAAACGTGAAGCAGCCAAGACTGGAATCCATGTGTTCTGAGTATAACAACACCAGTGCTTTTTATTCTATAGCCTGTTGCTTGCTAAAAGTCAGGGTTTTAAAAATTCAAAGGGGAGTTTTCAGTAAGCAAAGGACCTAAGGTCCTGGATCAGTTATTAGATTTGACTGCCAAAGACACAATAAGTGGCTTAAACAGGATAAAAATGCATTTCTCCCATGTTCAAAAAGTATGGAGGAAATCAGTCTGGGTGGGATTTATATATTCTTTTTTTCTTTTTTATATATTGCTTACATTCTCAAGATCATTATGGCTGCAAAAACTCAGCCTCTACATATGTATTCCATGCAGCAGGAAGGAAAAGTGGAAAAATAATTATATAAAAAATTAGAATTATATAAAAAACAAATTAGTTGTACCGGACATTTCTGCTTATATTCATTTGGTCAGATATTAACCACATGGTCACAATTAGCAGTAAGAAAGATTAAAACATTTTTACTTTCAGCAACCATGTATCTATTGAAAAATGGAGTATTTTATAACTAAGAAACGAGGGGAGGGAGGGGAACATGCTTTTGACCCATTCCTATGCAGTCCTGCTACAGGCATCAAAGTGTTGGTATTAAACCACCTTTGGATAACAGCTTGAAGGAAGCATGAAGCCCACCGAGAGGCCCCTAGTCTAGTGAAAGAGATAAATCAGTACTCTCCTTTTAAAACTGAAAATGGGACAAGGGTTGTCAACTTTCTACATTCCTATTCAGCACTGTATTCAAATTTCTATCCATTGGAATAAAGCAAGAAAAAGAAAAAAAAGAAATCTGTAATCAGATAAATGATGACCCCAGGCTAGGAAGACAGGAGTGTGGCTTGACCTCTGAGCAGGCTGGAGAGGCCCAGAGCTATGTGGACTGTGTCTCCCATTCCCTGCTAGTGAGAAAGTCCTACCAGGAACAGAATCAAAAATAAAGTCGGGAAGGCAATTCCCAGCGGAGTTTTAAAGATGAATAATGCTACTGATATTTTAAATAGCTAAGTTAACTGCAAAGACTTAGTAAGTAAAGAGAATGAACGATTGTCCAGATCCTGGAGGTCTTCAGTTTAGCAAACTGCATGTACACATACACACAGAGCTCTGTATGGGATGGGGAGACATAGAATATGTTCCCCAGAAACCCTGAGAAATGGGATCCACATTCCAGAAACTTCCAATCCAAAAGTGGCTCTAGCCTGGGCCCACATGCATATGAAGTGCCACAATGGACCTTTTGGGTCTTCAGGGCCTGATGGTAGGAAAAAAATTTCTGAAAGGAAACAGTTTATCAAGCACCTAAAACAATAGGATTTTGCTTAGTATTGATGGCATATAACATGACAAATTTCAGATGAATGTTTTATGCAAAGACCTTGAACAGACAATGACATTCTAAGTTATCTTTGGGAACTGAAGGTGTGTATTATTCAGGCAGAAGGTATGAATTGTTAAATCTTCAAAAACAGGTGAACAAGGACTCTCACAAGGATATAAAATGAATACATGTTAAAGGTTTTATTTTGCTTATTATCAATGAGAGATGTTACAACCAGTTCAGGAGAAAATCCAAAAAGCAGACATGTTTATAAATCTGAGACAGTGAAGTCAGGGTGCAACACAGAAGCAAAATTGGCCTCTTCCCCATGGAGAGGGAAGTCAACTGAACCTTCTCTCAGCAATTTTTTTCATCTATAGATAAGAATTCTTTTGCATTACTAACTGTTATCTTCCATTTAAATATTTTTAAAATAGTTCAAAGGCATTGAAAGTTCTCTAGACTTAGAATTAGGTAACCCCTGGGGCCTGGGGCTATCGCTCAGTGGAAGAGCGCTTGCCTAGCACACGTGAGGCATTGGGTTCGATCCTCAGCACCACATTAAAAATAAATAAATAAACAAAATAAAGGCATTCTATCCATCAACAACTACAAAAAAATTTTTTAAAAAAAGGTAACCCCTGGAGAGAGATGCTGTAGGTTTTCATTGTAACAATTTCCCTTATGGTCTGGGAGAGTTTGGAAGAATTTCAGCCTGCAGAGGCAGGAAGGGATCACATTGTGGAAGACTTTAGTGCCCTGGGGCTGGGCTTCCTCCTCCACAAGCCACTGTCAAGGTGATCTAAGTGACAGTTTGATGTTAACCCAGAGGAGGCAGTGCTCAGGAAGAGAGCCCTGAGACTGGAGGCACTGGGGGAG